TGCGGGGGCAGCCTGGCGAGGTGCGGGGGGGTGAAGTGCCGCACGGCCCCTGCGAGCCGCTGGCCTGTCTCCGCCTGCAACTTTGTTCCGACGCCGCGCGCTCGGCATAGGCGGTTTTTTTTTATTTTGACCCGTTCTCCAGTCGCTTAATGTTTCCAGGCACAAATTTATATGGGAAGCTTCGTGGGGGAGGGATTACCGCCTCTTATTTGCAAAGTGATGTGATTAATGAGGACGTAAATAATATTAGCGAACAAGTGACGTGCACGATGGGTTTTTTTCAGTATTCTCGGTGTATCGGTGCCTTTCCTGCAGCAGAACTTGCTGCAGCGGGAGCTGCTGAATCGCCTCGGGTCAGGTAGCGAGTTGCGAACCCTAAAAGGAGAATTTTTATCGTCCGATTTCCCAGTCTGACAGTCTCTGTTACTGTACTGTTTTGAAGACGGACTTACCCTACTTTCTGTGTGGGGCAGGCACGTTAGAGAGTGGATAAAAGGGGAAGTCGAGTAGTGGGACAAGCGTGAGAGAGAGGAAACTAAACGAGTGCGACCTGCAGGAGCTGAACAAAAGCGTTGAATTGTGAGAGTACAGCACACGGCTCCTGGGAGATCCGCATTTGCAGTGCGGATTCAAATCTACCTAATGGGGAGGGGGAGGAGTTCGGGTTCTATCATAACCACTCTGAAAGAGGTATCTGTTAAAACAAGACTTGAAAAGTCTGGCTGGAAAGCAAATGTAAATAGGCATCTGCAGCTGAGACTTGCATGCACTATTTTAATAAATAGTAATTTATTTGGACCTTGTATTTACAGTTTGAAAGGCATCAAAATAGCTGCTGCTCTTTCAGGAGATATGATGCAGTTAACTATTTTAAGAATATGAGATGCTTTCCCACAGGTGAACACTTTCGTACTTCTCTGTATATGGATTTGTGTATTTTTTTTAACAATTTGTTTTGAAAAAAGAGCGGAAGAATCTCCAGTGTAGGGTATAAGTGGGACCAGATCTTTTTCAGCCTATGCGCGCTGCTGTTCATCCACTGATCTCTTCCAGAATCCACTTAAAGGCTAAAACATGTATTTAGAAAAGCTGTACTGAAAACTATCAAAACTGAAGGTTACGCGTTACCCTGGGTTGCATACCTAGATTCATGGCAGAGGCAGCCAAAACTAGGAAAAGATGAGTAAATGCTTTCTATTGAGTAAATTATTTGTTTGTGTATTCAGCGGGAATGTTAAAATATTCTGGTCAAACTCCAGCTCCAATCTTCAAAAAGTTCCCCTGCATTTTCAGTTTGAAATAATGTCTTTTGATTCTTGTCCTAGCTTGCGTGCTCGTCTTGGCTTCTCAGCTGCCGGTGGTTGAAGTTTGTAGGGTATATTATAAAATTGCGTTAAGAAATGCGGCAGCTCTCAGGTACCCTATTCTTCTGCTCCTGAAAGGTAACATAAAACTTTCCTCAAGCTTGAGAAACCTTCCATTTTGTCTTCAGTGTAGTGTTGCATCTCCGCGCTCTTTTGCAGAGTTAGTTCGCTCGCTGAGCTCTCTGAGCTGGCTCACTGTGTGGTGGAGCGGAGCCCCCGGTAGTCACAGGTCAGCGTGGAGCTGCAGAAGGGGCTTGGGGTGGGGGTTTTGACGGCAGCTGGCTGTAGACCTGCTTGTCGTAGCAAACTGCCTTGCGGTGGTCCCTGAACAGCAGCCTAAGGTCATCGCAGCTGAGGTTTCTGTGGCGATTCTGTCCCCTCTCCACCTCCTCGCTCTCTCTGTCACCTCACTGCTGGTGCTTGTAGGTAGTTCAGGGAGCTAAACCAGCAAAAAAACATCGTCGTTATTATGGTGCTGATCTGGCTTCATGCTGGTTTAGTCTTCCTAACCAGGTATTTGGGATTAGGTGTCCTCCCATGCAAGGAAGGTGATGGGAATGTGGGGAGGGGAGAGCACCAAGGTAATATCTACTTGAATTAGCTTTATCTGTTGTAGCAGTTCAGTGTTAGCTGGAAACAAGGTCGTAAGCAACAGAAGCGTGGCCTTTCCGTTTGATAGAAGGACCTCAGGTAGGTATATGGATAAGGTGGATTCAGTGGGGCTCAAGCTATGCTTGCTCTTAGATGTATAGGACGATTAATTGCAGCAGAATTGCAGTGTGAAGTAAGGAAAGGGTGCCCTGTGCGGGCAGCGCGTTCAGGGAGGAAGTTACTGTTGATAAACAACCTTTTTCTTATTTCCTGGCTCATTCAGTAAATTTGCAGCTGCAGATGACTGTTAACTTGTGACTTTTCTTGGGACGATGGCTGGGT